TGTGGCGAGGGCCTTGCGTTTGTTGGAGCAGGTACAGCACCACCTTGTCTTCGTGGCACCCGCTTCTTCGCAAATACGGACCCAGCCAGCAGCTGCAGGGGGACCGCAAACGCAGAGGCATGCTGACATTCCTTGTTTCTCCATGGCCCCATGGTGCGAGTGGGCACCTTTTGCCGCAAACTGCGCAAGGTGAACTTGGCAGTCTGCGGCATTCCGCGATACGTCTCAGCGAACAATTCCCCGCATGGACAGCAGACGCCGTCTGTGGACGGCCGGACGGTGTTGCTTTGTACAAAATCAGCGTGCGCCCATACGCTGCACGGCCCTCGCTCGCGTTCATGTCCGTTTGCCGGTTCGTGCCCCCCCCCCCCCCCCCCCCCCCCTCCCCTGTTATCGATCCGAAGGCGTCAACATGTCTCCAACCCCCCGGTTCGCGCCACCACTAGCCGACCGGGGCCCGCGGCCGCACATCACATCGCACAAGCCAAGCCCAACACCGTCCGCATGGTGTACAGCGCCGCAGGCCGATGGCGCCGGCTTGGTCGGCCGGCAGTGTCGTCTGTGGTCTTACCCAGCATCCACTTTGCCGGTGTCACATCACATCGCGGAAACAGGTCGCTTTGCCTGCGCTGAGACATAGGGAATAGCCATTTTCCCGAATATTTTGCTTTTACTTTTCCTTTTGTCTTTCCACTCATACGGACCATGTCAGGAAAAGGGAGCCACTTCCGAGGCCTCCCAGGACACTCATCACAGTGCATGGGATCTGGCTTGCCTCACGGGGTACCTCGCATGCTTGCTTTCAAGAAGAAAGAGAGCAGCAGCGTCAGCCTCATCCATGACAAACCCGGCGAAATGGCCGCTGCGCATAGGGACAAAAAATATGTGAATATAGGGATCCGGAACCGAGGTTGCGCCGCACTCGTCAGTGGCATGCGGACCTCAAGCGCTAGAGGGCCACATTTTTTTGGGCAAAGGACGATTGTAAGAGTGGACGGACGTGAGTGGACGAGTGGACGGGTGGACGTCGTCGACGCGGGTTCTTTTCGTTTGTGTGTGTCCGTGCTGAAAGCCTCAGGACCGGGATGACGGTCTAGGATATAGCATTGCGCCTTGCTCGCTGAACTGCGCATGCTGCGTCCCCCACCCACTGTGTCCTAGTTCCGTCCTCCCAAGTGCGCACATTGGGAGAGATGGGATGCTTGGAAGGAACCATTGCTGCAGAATATTTATTCCGCTGTCAGGACAGCACCTCCTTCATCAGGAGGGGAGCGAGGATGATGGACCTGCGCCGAGGGGGTGGCGAATGGCCGTGTGTTCCGGTTGGGCGTCCAACTTGCGTCCGAAGAGGACAAGAAGCCCTTCTCATTTGTCGCTGAGCCGTGGCGGTCAACGTGACGAACGTGGCACACGATTCTCGGACCGCGCTGCAGATCAAACCGCCGTGTACGATCCTGGGTTCCGGTGTTGGGTGGCAGGGTCAGGAGCTAAAATGGAAGCTCACGAGGTCGCTTGGCAGCTTCCCTCGAGTGTGCTTTTAAAAGCTCAGCGCGATCCTTCCCATTGGGCTCCAGCTTCCGAATTGGAGAAGGCTGAAATCGAGTGCGAAAGCCGGTGCAGACAACAGTGCATGTCCCCCCACCCACATCTCGCATGGTGAGGTCCTCCTCCGCCCCATTATCCCGTCCACGCAGTCCGCGCAGTCCACGCAGTCCGCACTCAACGCCGCACAGTGTAGCGCCACATGTCGCAGCCGTCGGCTGGCTACGTCGACCGACGGACGGAACCCGACCGCCTGTCCCGTCCACCCCGAGCATCCGCGTCCGCCACTGATCCACGGATCACCGTGGCGGTCATTTAAAAACCACACTAAGGCAATCGTACCGACCCCGTGGGCCAGTGCGCGCCCAGTGTGCTGTGATGGAGCGTTGCGCTGCAATTTGTGTTCCAGCATACCTCCGAGACCAACTCATACGCTAGCTCCAAGACCGAGCGTTCCAGGCATGCAGAGCCAAACCTGACCGCCACACACCGATCAGTCTGATCTCCCCTCCCACCTCCTCATTCCTCGTGCAACTGAAAGGCCAAGCTAGCGGGGTAAGTGGGTGAGCGTGTGACAGTCCTTCCTGTGGCCTGTGACGTCCACCCTCTGTCACTCAGCCACGCTGCAGGGTAGGATCAACATCGAGTACAAGTCTGCATTGTTCTCGTCCCTGCAGCCCTGCAGACTGTCAATACGAGACGGCCAGTGGACGAGACCCAGCAAACCACCGCAGCCAGTAGGGGTCAAGTGCTGCTCCACTCTCGCTTGGCAGCCGTGTTCGTTCAGCTCGGCATCCTGTGTCAGCGTTTCAGCAGGGCAATCAGTGCGCACTGTTCGCTGGCGCCACTGACGTGCTTGCATTGGCATATGTGGGTAGCGCATCCTTGGCGCGGTGCAACCGCCCATCCCTTGTTGCCCTTCCCCCCCTTGTGTCCAGCGCATCGAAACCGTTCTCCGTTACTTGCCCCATTCGAACTGGGTGCCCTCGTCTCTCGCTTCCGAATGATGCCCCCCGCTCCCCCCTTGGTTTCGTGTTCGTCGCAAAGGAGGCCTTTCGGTGCACGCCCGTGGATTTGGTCACTAGCTTGGACTCTGCTATCGCTTCACAATCGGCAACCGTTGGGCACAATCTGCTGCACATGACCCCCCTACTGTGCCAGACTAGTCCTCTCTCTGCACATGAGCACGGGCACGCACATGGCCTGTGATCAGACGCGCCAGAACGCCGCGAACGGATCCTTCTGCCGAAGTTACCGAGTGAACCGCCGGGGGGGCTGCAGCTCGCTTGCAGACATCGGTACAACGCTAGGGGACCGAGCTGTCTCCTAGTGACTGTATCGGACTGCTCAACGGATAAACGATCGTCGAAAGTGGCGATCCACAGACGTGTTGGTGTGGATCTCATGATGATCTGCCACACACACATCGTTTCAAAAATCTCCGTTGGCTCCGGGATCCGCGGGTGGTGAGATGAGATCCGTCGATCAGTCCATCCGTGAGCGCGTACCGGTTGGAGACGGCTAATGGCTCCAAGCTCCACCTGTCCATTCGTGATCCGTGACAGGCCGGAATGGTTGGCCAGGTCGGCTGCCGGTCATCAACTAACGGCTCAACTGGGAAGAGTGCGTACGCGAGCAGAGCCACTTGGCATGCCGCGTGTCGTGATATGCGCGCGGTTGTCGTTTGTCGCTTGAACAAAGTTGCGTTCCTCATCGTCGGCTTGAGGCGCTGGAACTGGGACCCGATGGAGCAGGTTGTCACGCTCGTAACCAGAACCGAGCAGCCTCACTGTGGATCATTGTGGAGCCATTTTGAGGACGAGGGACAAAGCTGTGCCGGGCCGTACCGGTGCGGTGGCTATACGTGGACCACTGGTGGATATCTGCACCGAAAACAGATCATGCATCAGTCAGCAGCCATACGTAAGTCTCCGTTGTAGCCGAGTAAACGTCCTTGGCTAACCGTACACTAGTGGCACCCTTATTGACCGGTGTCCCGAGGTTGTCAATGTGGCAGCAACACTTAGGCTATGTACTTTTGCTAGCCGATCAGGAGGATCCATCTCGGCCCGTTTCGTGCGTACGGCAATCAGGCTCTAGCGGGAGAGTTAGAACGCAGCAGATAGACAAGTGCTCCAGCCGAGGCAAGCTGTTAGTTAGCGCGGGGCGTCTTGGCATTTCTGGTGACTTTTGACGCGGCTGTTGACTAAAGTTTGGTGGCAAGTGAGTGTGTGTGCCACTTGCCGCTGGCGGCGGCGTGTTAACATGCCCCAAGCGAGGTGTAGTGCGACATGAAAATGGGCAAGTGTGCGTGGGCGGTGCGTGTGCGCTCGCTGTTTCTTGAGAGAATTATGTAGTACAGTGGCTCAATGAGAAAGATCGTGGCGTGCCAACATGGACGTCGTAACGTTCTCTGTATCGTGCATGCAAAGACACGGGAAAGGCACATGTAATTGATGCAGTGGGCATGTTTCATAAATAACGTGTCTGTCAAAGGATACGGCGGCTGCATGCGTATCGCTGTGGTAGCTTTGGGGTACACCCATTTGGGGCTGGGCACTGATACACTATGTGTTGGATTGCAACCCCGATACTCATCTTACTACCGCGACAAGGGCTAAGTAGTCAAGTCCATCCTTATACCTCACTATCAATGACATACGCAGTGCGCAGTCGGGACTGCATCCCAAGTCACATCTACCACCAGGGCCGGCCTTGCAAGTGCCACACTGTCACAGCACCCCGCGTGGTCGCAATGGCGATCTTGCTTCCATACCCTGTATCCCCATGTATGCCGCCTTTTGTCTATTGTCCTCCTCTATTCCATCCGGCGTGCACGACAGGTCCGCTCGGTACCGCCGTCCCAGATCCGATCTTGTGAAAAGAGATCTCGTGTTTGTTTGATGTCCTCCGGTATGGGAAAATGGCAGTTGAGGAATGCGCCTTTGCTGTGGTCCGCCGACCCAAAACCTCGCGGGAAGATCCGCCATCTCAGCCATGCTCGCCACCACCAATCACCAACTTGTTAGTTGACTGCGCTCTGTCACTATAAGATTCCCTCCAGACGCCACATGCCGTTCATTGACTGACTGCACTCTTATTGCGCAACGTCACCAACCTGGTCCATGCGCGGCATTGGAACCCCGGTTTGATAACGGGCATACCTCCACGAACCCCCATGACACTGGCCGTGTTTCCAATATTTTCGAATTTAACATGTCGACCGGCGGCCGTGCGACCGATACGTCCTCTGCCATTGGCCCATCATCTAATATTCCCCAACCCCTCTCCTCGTCACGCTTCATAGAGGAGGAAGCCATGTAGATCCAGATCTGCTGGCTACCGCCGCCTCGTTTCTAATCTCCTTTCGTGCGTGCCAATGTGTTGCCGCTTGGACATTGAGATCCCCGCGACAAGGACATCCAGCCGACGCCAAGCGAGCTCAACAATAACAACACTCATTCTAGTGACCGCCTGTCAGCGAAGCGCAATTGTGTTCGATACGAGATTTGACTCACCGCCATAAGCATACTCCACTTCGTCCACGGCGCCATAGTCCCGTTCCATCTCGTCCCTCGTCTCAGGGTTGATAGGCATGGGTCCGGGGAGCTCGCTGTCGTCCTCAAACACGTCACCGAGGCCCTCGGACAGGGGCCCAAGACCCATGACAGGGCGAAGTGGCGATCCACCAGAGCTGGAGCGGCGGCGGTCCGATGGTGAACGCGGCAGTAGCTTGAGTGTGGTAGGGGACATGTGCTGTTGTCAGTTTCATATCCGGACTTCCATAAAACTCACCTCCCAAGTGTTCTCGCCTTGCGATTTGCGGCGCTGGCGCATGGCCGCAAACATGCTGCGACCCTCCTCTTCGGCGTCTAGACGCGAGTCCTCGCCGAGCTCACCTACAGTGACGACCGACTCGGAGTCGCTGATGTCGCTGATAGTGTCATCGTCGGGGCCGCCACGTGCACGCATGAGCTCCCCGAGGCGGGTCCACGCTGCGTCGTCGCGCTCTGCAGGACCAGGCGCAGTGATCGGGCGAACGTCCTCGTCTCCGTCCCAGTCTTCGTCTTCGTCCTGCTCGGGACGCGTGCCGTCACCAAAGACTTCGCGGAGCACGTCCTCGTACTCGTGCATCCAGAACTCGATCATGCCGTCTGGGTTGTACGGCAGCTGCTCGGCGCGAGAGAGAGGGAACAGGTCGGACTCGGACGAGATGGACGAGATGCGTGAACGGCGGCGCGAGTTTGCAAAGCCGGCCGGGCCCTCGTCGAACACGGCAACGTTGCCTGATTCAGTTCGGCGATGTTGGGTCTCTTCCAGCATCGTCGGCACGAGGTGTGCGGCATAGTGTCGCTTGTTATAGAAACCGATAAGTGCACGCAGGGCGAGTTCCTGCGGCTTGCCGACCATTGCGTCCTCGGCCTCGAGGTCAGCCTCAACGCCAACGAGCCAGTCGTTTCTCAATTCAGGACGGCAGTTGAGGTAAATGCTCGTAATGATCTTCATGTTGGCTGGTTTGTCAGTTTCGAAAGACCGCAGTGTGGCACTCACTCGACCGCCACTTGCGCCCGCAGTACGGCATCTGGCTCTTGACGAGCTTGAGCACCTGCAACTGAAGCATCGGCTGGTTGACACGGAGCACGCGCTTGAGGATGGCAGAGCTCTTGTACTGGCACATGAGGAGGATGCGGTGGGTACGGTGCTTTGTGATCTTTTGGAGGATCTTGACCAGGTTGATGGCTGAGAAGAAGTTGCGCCACGAGTATTCGTTGATCAGCTCGACCTCTTCGCCATCCTCTTTGCCCATCGTTGGCTGCTGTGGCTGGTTGTTATTCAGCATCTCATCCTCGGGACGGGGTCCGCCCTTGCTGGCATGGAGGTGGATGTAGCGGAAGAAGCTGCAGTCGGGCATCTCGTTCTTGGTCTGCACCATGGCCGAGATCTCCTGGAGGCCAAAGATCTTGAGCACAAGCACAAGACAGTTGGAATCCAACAGCAGGGACGTGAGGTGGTGGAATTTTAGAACGTCTGTGAGGTAAGTTAAGGAGCATAAACAGGGCACGTACGAGACGCCTTGAACCACTTGAGGAGGAGCAGAATGATGGCTGACACGGCCTTGGACGTAATCTCACGGTGGCGAGCAATGTCAATCTCCTCCTTGGTCGGCGGGGGGTTGTCCTGGATAGCTACCTCGTCAGCGCAAACATGAAAGGAGCCACTCACGAGGCATATCCTGCGTTGGCGAACCCAAAGGCTGGGCCAAGTGGGCCTGGTTTGCAGTGCCCGTGACAGTCGCCAAGAGGAGCTTGAGCAGGACGATGACCGTGTTCTGCATCATTGGCAACATCGAGCGCTATACGTCAGCTGAGATGACGGTTTGCTCAACTCACATAAATGACCTCGACGCGATAGAGTCTCCGAGCGGCAGCACGCTTCTCATGGGCGAGCTTGACACCCTCCTTGTCGCCCTTCTCGTGCGCAAGTCGCTCCTCATCCTCGTATTGCCAGTCTCGACGGAGCGCCTCCTCGGCGGCCTCGTCCTCATCGTCGTCAAGATGCAGATTGGAGAATCCAATGAGGCCTGACTGGCCCAGTCCACGCTCTTCGCGCATGCAGTCCTCACGTGCCTGCCACAGCTGGTACAGACCCAGCGAGACAAAGACGTGCGAGTGGTACAGCTTGTCTGCCTCGGCAATAGCGTATGGGACAAGCGATGCCGGAGGCCCCTGAGTGGTTTGCGAGTAGGGGAAGACGAAAGGGCGAGTGGGGTCGGTCTGAAACTGGAGCTTCTTGGGCTTTTGCTGAGGCGACTGAGGAGGTGTCGGCGCGGGTGTACCAGGCTGGGGCATGGAGCCCATACCAAGCGACGACGACGAGCTCTCGGGTATCTCAGTCGAGTGGTAGTTTGGCCTCGCGGGAAGTGGGCGGATACTCTCAGCAAGTGTCTCGGTCGCAATGGGCACGCCGTCGGCGACGGATGGGGGTGGGGCAAACGTGGGGTACTTGGTCGATGTGTCACGACGCCAGGTGGCAATATCCATGGGAGAGGCCTTTGTGAAGTCTGCAGACGGTTAACACTCTTTGAGGATGGCACAACCTACCCTTCTTCTCCGGTCCCAAGCCGGTCAGCTCGCGAGACAGAGCCTTGGCTTTAGCAGCCTCACGCATTCCACCCAGACAGGCGAGGAGAGTCTTCCATAGGAGGAGCAACACCTTTTTCACCGGGTATCCCTTTGGCACCATACGGTCCTTTAGACCGGCGACCATGCCGACGAGCATGAGGGGGAGAGGCGGATCCATGGCCACTGATCGTTAGCAGTCTAACAACCTGTAACGAGGCCACCCACTGAGCTCGTCACCAAACGTCTCGTCGTCCTTGAACACCTCGACCATAAAGTAGAGCATGGCCAGCACGTCCATGAGTTCGGCAGACTGGACATCGTACGGGTCGACGGGGACGAGGTTGGACGAGCCCGAGCGCTCGCGCATGGCAGGCTGCTTGTCGGGCACACTGCCGTCAGCTTGGAGATGGAGGGTCTAGCTCACTCGGCGGCATCGTATCGCCTTGCTGCATCGCGCAGCCCATACACGAGCGTCGACACGCCGTCGACGCTGCGCATCAGCTTGGCATTCTCAATAATCCAGTGCAGCTGCATTTCAGGAGACGTGGTCTCGGCAAAGGAGCCTGGCGGGTCAGTGTTGCGGCACCGGCGTCAAACCCCACCTTGGAGAAGATAGAGCAACCTGCCCTGCGCGGCACGTCGCGTCTCGTTCACAGGACTCTCGATGTACTCGAGCTGCGTCTCGACATATGCGCGGCGCTTGGCCAAGCTCGCCGACGTCCATTCTGCTGGGTCAGTTCCGGACCACTAGGCCTTCGATACCCACCGCCGTCAAACGAGCCCGCAAAGCGCGATGCGTTCTGCGCAACGTGTCCAATCTCGATGTATGGGTAGAACTCGTCGAGCTCGTTCATGATCGTGTCCGTGTCATCGTAGCGGAAGGCGAACAGCTGGGTCTGGGTCATCGTCAGCCGTGATACGGGACGAGGCGACCCGCACTGCAGCTCACTTTTTGCTTGGCCATGGCAGCTGTCTGGGCACGCAGCTGCCCGAGGGTGATGCTGTCTGCTGGGTCGCCCTCGGCGTCGCGCGCCAGGCCCGGCACGCCGTCGCCGGCGCGTCCAGGGCCGGTCGTCGTCTCGTTTGAGCGTGGGCGCGGCAGGTTGGGCGGTGTGGTGGAGGGCTCGGGAGGGTATAAGAGCAGCTCGCGAGCTGGACTAGTGAGACGCCCTCAGATCCAAGTCGGACGAGGAGGGCCGGGCGAGATGGGAAGTGGGAGGTGGTCAGCGATGTGGTGAACGATGAGAACACAGACATGGCAACTGAGGTCGACTTGGATGGTGGAGGCCCGAGTACACTGATGGTGTTCGCGTGATTGGCACGTGGCGGGTCACGTGACACAGACCGGTCGTAGCCCCCCAAGTGGTATGCAGGGCGGTCACAGTCAACTGTTTGGCTTGAGCCTGGACTTCCGGGTCATGCTCGCTCTCGATGGATCGGTAGTTGCAATGGTAATGGCATGCTGGTACAACAGTGTATGCAAATATTATATGAGTGGCAGGACATCCGATGTAAGGGTGGGGCAGTCAGGTTCTCCTCTCCTCCCCTCTCCACACTCATGCACTCGTACCCGCGGGGGTACGCTCCAGTCCCTCCATCCCATCTCCTCCAGCTGGCGCCACACCGTCAGCTCCGCCAGCACGGCCCTCGGCGGCCTTGGTCATCGCCTCGGCCTGCTTGCGCATGGCCCACTCGCGCTCCCAGTCCTCGTCCTGCTTCTTGTCGTACTCCTCGCGCCGGTCGGCCCAGCGCTCCTGCACATCCAGGACGTCCGGATACGGGTCGCCGGGCATGAGGCCCGACGCTGAAGAGAAGAGCGCGTGCAGGTTCTCCTCGTTGGTGCCGGACCCGGACGGCATGAAGATGTATCCCGTGACCTTGTCGACGAGGCGCACAATCTTCATCATGGATGCCTTGTCCTGGGGTGTCTCTGTCAGCTTACCGGATTCATGGCGAACCCAAAACAGATGTGCGACTCACCTCCACGGCCAAGGTCTCGAACCCGACCAGACTAAACTCCTCGATGAGCTCGCACATGGCTGCGTTGAGCTTGCGGAATTTCTTGGCGCGCGGCTCGTCGTTGAGCGTCTGCAAGAGGTATCCCAAGTCCTGCACTTCGGTGTAGTAGTCGAGGTTGAAGGGCAGCTCGCCCATGCCGCCGATCGTGTCAATCTTGCTCAGGATATTGATGTGGGGCAGCTCGAGCTGGAGCATGGCGCGGAGGGCGAGGAGCACCGCCGAGATGTACTTGGACGCATCGGAGATGGAGTGCGCGTCCGTCAGGTGCACGGCTGCGAGCCTGTAGTCGAGCTTGCCGAGGCGCTGGAAGATGCGCTTCAAGCTGTCGTGGTTGGTCCACAGCTCGGCCTGGCCGGGCGTGTCAAAGATGACATAGCCGTTGCCGCCCTGGGCTTCGAGGACGCTGTCGAGACCCTCGACGAGCCAGTCAAAGTTGGCCTCGAGGTACTCGATACAGTACAGCATGGCACCGTTGGGGCCCAGGCCATACTCCTCCTGCACCTGGTCGAGGGTGATGAGGTCGGTGATGGACAGCGCACATGGGTATGGTGGGTTGGGAACGGCCGGGTCGAGGTTAATGATCGCGACGGGGCGCCCGAGCGCGGTGAGGAACTGGGACATGCCATGACAGTAGGTCGTCTTGCCAGCACCGGGCGGACCGGTGACAAGCTGTCCGAACGCCGACTGGTGTGTGGTCTGGTCCATGACGCAATGGATGGAGGTGGCAAGTGGAGGTGGGTTGGTCACCGATTCCAACTTTTTTTGTTCCAGTTAGATGCGGCCGCTGGTGTGGGTAGGGGGCGACGGGAAGCGGATGACGACGTCGGGGTTGGGAGTAAGTACGCCTGCAGAGGAAGTGCCAGACGAGTCAACCTGTATGGGTGTCCTCGGTGTCGACTGGCCGGTGGAGAGCGACTCGAAGCGGTCGGTGGAAACTCCGAAAGTGGTCGGACTGAATGACTGAGGCTGCTCATCACTCAGCGGTCGGGGTTTTCGGTGAGACCGCCTGCCGGCCGGTGTGGCACTTCGCAAGGACGTGGCTGCAGCCAGGCGCTGGTATGCTGTGGATTATGGTCAGCGATCCATGCATACAAAATGAACGCATGCATACATGCATGCATGGTTGTGGGGTAGGGGGTTGGTTGGTTGGTTGGTTGGATCACTCACAGTCGGTAATCCACGAGTCGTGGCGTGCAGGCGTGGATGAGTCCGACTGGCCGCCCATATCGATCCGGTTGTCAAACGCCGCGCCGAGGCCAGACACACCGAGACCCTGTGGGTGCAGGGCGGCAGGCATCGTTGACGTGCCAACAGCGTCCGCCGAGCTGCGGGGGAACGGGAGGGGCACGCGCTCCGAGCTGATGACAGGTGTACGGATCTCAAACGTCCCGTCGCTGCGTGTGGCGTCTTGTGGGCTATCGGCCTCGAGGGAATAGCCCAGTCCAATGGGCTCGGTGGGCATGACTGGGCGCGAGAACATGAGTGGACGCTGTGCGTTCTCGGCCGGGGGCTCGGTGACAGGCGACGCGACTTGCGGGGTACGGTAGAAGAGGCCACGGAAGTTTTCGTCCATGCTGGGACGGAGCGAGCCCTCGGACCCACTGGACATGGCCGAGTTGTGAGACCTGCGCCGCTCAAAGGAACGGCGGTGGTCAAATGCATGCAGGGTGTTCTCAGTGTCGGGGTCGAGGTTGCGGTTGGCACGCGGCGTCGCCGTGACGGAGAGCGACTCCATGATCCCCTGGTTTGGTAGCGCCACAATGGTCTGGCGGCGCGAATCGGAATCAACAGTGTCTTCCTCGGCCTCGTCGACGTGCTGGAGATGGATGGGGATGTCCAGCCGCGGCACCGTCGGCGCAGCAGGCGACGGTTCTTCCCAGTCCGAGCCCTCGAGCGCGTCGGTGTAGTGCGAGAGCGCCGACGTTGACGAAACGGGGAACAGGTCCGGGAGGGTGGCATCAGAAGAGCTGTCGTCCATGTCGCTGTCGCTGTCGTGGAGCGTCGCCTGCTCTGCAGCTCGAGGGGTAGCAGACGGCGTTGCCCAGTGCTCGGCCGTCGTGGCAGTCGCGCTGGTGTAGGCCGAGTCTTCAGAGGCAGCCGATGCGGGACGAAGCTCGGGGAAGCTACGGTGGCTACGGGCACTGCGGAAGCTCTGTCCGTCGGACGGTGTGCCGATAGCGCGAGGGGGAATGGCAAACCGCGCGATGCTGTCCGGGGTGCCGCTGCCAGACCTGCTCCTGCCAAGAACACCCGAGGTATCCGCCACAGCAGCCGACGTTGCGTCTGTCCTTGCGCTCAGGTCTGCCAGACCGCTGAGGTCCATGTCGCTGTTGTCCCTAGTGCGAAGCGGGCTGTCTGGTGTGCCACGGCCATCGGGAGCTCGGAAGCTGTCTGGTGTGGCGATGACGGCCGACACGCTGGGAATGCTCCTGTGACGACTGGCGGCGGATGGGCTGAACACTGGCGACGGAATGGGCTGACGCGACTGCGAGGCAATACGCTGGCGCTGGTTGCTGCTAAACGCGAGCAACGCAGCGGGGCTTGTAGTCGAGGCAGGGATGGGACTGGTGGGTGAAGCTGTATGCGGTGCAAGCACAGAAACAGTCATCTGTCGGACTGGAGTGGGCGACTCGTCCATGATGGTGGGCATGTTGGGCGGCGGGGGAGTTTGGATACGAGCTGGGGCCGGAGCTCCAGGAACGACACCACCACCACCAGCAGCTGGCTCGCCAGACACCGAATCCATGACCTCAGAGTCATTGTTGGGAGTCGAAGGCTCTACAGCAAGTGGGTACGTGGCAGCAAAGACCGCGAGCGGTGACATGGCGCCAAAAGCTGAGACAGAGGCGGACTGGCGGTGGAGTGTCGTTGGCGTCGGTGCCTGTGACTCCCCAAGAGTGCTGGTCGATCCAGAACGCGACAGTGGAGGGTACGGAGGCGTTGGTGGCACCGGTCCTGATGGAGGAGCGCGGGGGGGTGGGATACGTGCCGGCGCCGTCAAGGGCAGCGAGGGCAGTGCCTTGTCCTTTTGCACCACCGTCCTCGAGCTGGGCGGCGTGACTGGTGGCATCGCAAACTTGCTCAGGTCTAGTGGCGAGGCTGGCGAGACCGAGCCCAACGAGCCAGCAGCAGAGTTGGCACGGGGGCGCACAGTACTCGCGGCAGCCTTGGCCTTGGGACGAGGTCCGAGGGTGCTGGTGCGCGTCGGCAACGCGTTGCCCGCCGTTTTGGAGTGTTTGAGGTCGGGCGACGTGGCGCGAGCACGTGCAAAGAATGAGGTTTTAGGGAGTGGAGGTGGCGCGGGCTCGCCGGCGGCGGCGCTGGCAACGGGGTAGTCGACGATGGCAGTGGCAGAGGCAGAGGCTTGTCGGCGAGGCGTGGGGTACTCGGGCCGCTCATAGTCGAAGCGGGTCTGGAATGTGGGGGATAATGCAAAGACTGATGAGGATGCAGATTGAGGATAGATGGTAGCGTTCTTTGTAGAACCAGTGGGCGACATGGGAGGGGACTGGAACGCGCGCAGGGTGACCGAACGACGGCGCTGGCGAGCCAGCAAGTATCTGGCATGGGCCGAGCTTGGGGGTTCCTTTGGCAGAGCCCCTGGCGGCGTGTCCATGGGGATACGTTGTGGGACCACCTGAGGTGGTGGCGATGCCGCCTCGTTGCCCACAGTGGTTAGCGCGACACCAATCTCGTCCGAGCTGAACGTGAACGGCGAAGCGCGTTCCGGAGTGGGCAAATGCGGTGGGGGGGATGGCGATGGTGGGCGCCGGACGGGCTCGGCAAAGTCCACAGCCCGCGGTACGCGAGTGCGCGCCGTGCTGGCGCCTACAACCACGACACCGGTGCTGCCACTGCGGACGTGGGCACTGTTGGGGGGACGGAACTGCAGTGAGCGAGGCGGGCCATTGCGGTGGCGGCGAGCGGGCGAGCCGGGCATGCCAACAGTCGAAAGAAGGTCCGGGTTGCTGACGGTATCGGTGTAGCGTACCGACTGGGAGCGGCGAGGAGTCCGTCCACCGTCTGACATGGCAAGGTTGGGGTTCGAGGTACTCTTCGGGAGACTGGGGTGGCTCTGGTTTTGCTGCTGGATGCGCCTGCTGCCAAAGATACCCCTGCGGGTCGAGTTTGTCCTGGATGACGCCGTTCGCAAGCTGTCGGAGCGCTCGGGCAGTTCTGGCCTTTCAGCCCGTTCACTGTTGACTCGGTTGTGCAGGTCTTCATGTGACATGGTCATGCGAGCGCCCCGGTACGACGCGCCATTGCGGTGGTTGAAAAACGACTTGAGCGAGCCAGACGCCGAGTTGCTGCGCTGGTGGCTTGGTTTTTCGCTGACCGGATTGTTTCGTGCCGAGTGGGATGTTCCAGGTGCGCTGAGACGGCCAAGCCGTGTCGCAGGCGTCGAGGGCGCCGAGTCTGACAAGCGGCGCAACGACGCACTGCGAGACCTGCGCGTCACCTCTGCCCATTGCTCGCGCTCCGCATCCCGAGCCTCGCCCCGGGCGATTGCCTCGGAGAAGGGGGCCTCGCTGTCCTCCTCCTCCTCTGTCTCGGGTGCGTTGGGACTTTCTGGCGGCGTAATGTCGTGCGCGTTCAGTCGCGGCCGGGGGAATGTGAGGGCGTCGCACACGGTAGTCACCGCCAGCCGAGACTTTGAACCTTCCGAGTGGAGCGAAATCGCCGAGTGCTGAGCGAGTGTCGCTGTCCACTGTCCGGAAGCGTTGGCTGGAAACGTCGCCCACGATCTGTTGCCGCCGACACGAGGGTACGGCGCGCGGCCCGGCTCGTGAGCAAAGTCGGGCTCCGAAGCGAGAAAGGGGAGGGGGTCGGTGTGGGGGTTGTGGACTGGATGAGCTGTCAGGTTTGGGGTGCTTGCGTATGGCAGGTTGCTGCCACTGGGCGTGCTGCGAAGGGTTCTTGCGAGCGGCGAGAAGAGCATCTTGGGTGCCATGAGACCAGTCAAGACGGATGGGGAGGGTTTGACAGTCGAAGCCCGCTTCTCAAATGGATGCCCGACCGCAGGCGCATTTGTGTTGTTGATGTCTGGCCCTCCAAACTGGCCGTAGGGCGTTGCGTATTGCAGGCCTGCAGGCGCAAAGGGATCGGCACCACCGTACGTCCCATAGCTATATTGTTGGTGGTGGGCACCGCCGCCAAAGGACGCCGTGCTCTGTGCCCCCAGTGGACGCACGAGTGTGGGAGTCGAGGCAGACGACAATTTTTGCTTGTTCTTTCGACGCCCAAAGAACCACCCACTGAAGAAGAATGTCCGTCGCTTTTCCTGCGGAGGTTGTAGTTGCTGCACGGACATGGGAGCGAGACCAATACCCTGTGCGCCCGACGGCTGCACTGGTGGCGACAACGACAGGGCCGAGGTGGTGGAGATGTATGGCGGTCGATAGGGGACAAAGCCGTCTTCGTCCTGTTGAGCCTTGGGCTCACGCGGCGGCGGGGCGGCTGCTCGTATTGAGTTGCCCCTCCTCCATGTTGGCCGGTGGTCGGCCATGGCGCCCAGGGCGGCTACCTCGTCCTCGCTGTCCTCGCTGTCGCTGTCGTCGTCGCTGCCGTTGCCAAAGGCAGAGTCGGCAAACGAGACGGAGCTCACGAGGGCCGCGTCAAGGCTGGGTTGGTTGTACACCGGGGGTTCATCGGGGGCCGTGGTGGGTGCGGTAGCAGTGGTGGTCGAATTTGCGGACAATAACAAATATGGCCGTGGTGGGGGCAGAGGGCCGATCGGAGGGAGGGCAGGGAGTTGTTTGGAGAGATGTAGAGGCGAGAGGTCATGTGGGGTGGACATGGCGGGCGAGGGGAGTGGAGTGTGTCAGTGTTGATGCTCTCATGGGGACATTGGGGGTTGGGGGTGTGGGGTGGGTGTTGGACTGGACAACAGGTTGGTGGTGGTGGTGAGAGCTGTGGAAAAATGGGATATGAGGGACGACGAAAAGGAAGGGTGTGGGGGTGACACAAAAGGGCACATTGCTGGCCAGCAGCTTTCTTTTGCGCTAGCGGCCTTGAGAGCTTGAGACTGGGTCCGCGACGCCGCTCGTCATTGCACTTGAGCGGAATGTGCCGTTCGTAGAGCCGTCCGGCGTCGTCGAGCCCGCCGACTGAATGGCCCAAAAGGTTCCCCCATGGCCAGAAGGCGCCGTGGCGCCTTTTTGCTTCATCATCCCGAACCTTGTTGACACCAACCCAATTCTACCGGCGCAATGCCCCGCCGAACGCGAGTCACCTCCCCCAGCCTGGCAGCCCGCCTTTTGTAATGTCCAGCGCAAGCCACAAGTCAAGGCCGCGTGCTCACCTGTCAAGCGCTTGATCTGCGTCAGTGGCGGGAAGCGTTGCACAGCTGTGCTGGACGTGGGAGTGTGGGCGAGAGGGGTATGGTGTTTGGCTAGGAAGGAGTGGTGAGGTTGAGATATGCAGATATCGCATGATTCGATTTTGTGTGTTGTGTTTTCCTTCTTTCCAGACACACACACCGCAACGGCCCAACGGTCCAACGGGGTTGGCCGTTCCGCCCAGAAAAACGTCGTCACAACTAACCGACCACGAGGGCAGACAGCATGAACCCGGGTCTTGTGTGCGGGGGAGGCCGAGCGGGGCACTGGCGCTGGGAGGGAAGGCCACCAACGACGCGTGCCGGAATAACCAGGGTTTGCAACGCTGTCAACGGCCACCAACGGCCGGCGAGCGGCCAGTGGCCTGAGCTGCGTGCAGATGACTCTGTATGGGGGTACCCGCTGCCGCACTTGCAGGCCTGTGCGATGCACACACCACAAGACCCATGGAACGATTACGGTATGAGCCCACTGATCACTGATCCTACTGACCGAGAACAGGGCCACAGGCCGCTCCGAACAAAGTGCTCTG